ATTCCTTTATTATATTGTTTATTCATTCCTTTATTATATTGTTTATTCATTCCTTTATTATATTGTTCATTCATTCATTCCTTTATTATATTGTTCATTCATTCCTTTATTATATTGTTTATTCATTCCTTTATTAGATTGTTCATTCATTCCTTTATTATATTGTTTATTCATTCCTTTATTATATTGTTTATTCATTCCTTTATTATATTGTTTATTCATTCCTTTATTAGATTGTTCATTCATTCCTTTATTATATTGTTTATTCATTCCTTTATTATATTGTTTATTCATTCCTTTATTATATTGTTTATTCATTCCTTTATTATATTGTTTATTCATTCCTTTATTATATTGTTTATTCATTCCTTTATTATATTGTTTATTCATTCCTTTATTATATTATTCATTCATTCCTTTATTAGATTATTCATTCATTCCTTTATTATATTGTTTATTCATTCCTTTATTAGATTGTTCATTCATTCCTTTATTAGATTATTCATTCATTCCTTTATTATATTGTTCATTCATTCCTTTATTAGATTGTTTATTCATTCCTTTATTATATTGTTTATTCATTCCTTTATTATATTATTCATTCATTCCTTTATTAGATTGTTTATTCATTCCTTTATTAGATTGTTTATTCATTCCTTTATTAGATTGTTTATTCATTTATTCCTTTATTAGATTGTTTATTCATTCCTTTATTAGATTGTTTATTCATTCCTTTATTATATTGTTTATTCATTTATTCCTTTATTAGATTGTTTATTCATTCCTTTATTAGATTGTTCATTCATTCCTTTATTAGATTGTTTATTCATTCATTCCTTTATTAGATTGTTCATTCATTCCTTTATTATATTGTTCATTCATTCCTTTATTATATTGTTCATTCATTCATTCCTTTATTATATTGTTCATTCATTCCTTTATTATATTGTTCATTCATTCATTCCTTTATTATATTGTTTATTCATTCCTTTATTATATTGTTCATTCATTCATTCCTTTATTATATTGTTCAT